ATCGTGCAGAGATGACTAAAACCCAGCCATAGCAAAACACAGCTATGCTGTACCCCAAAAGATCAAACCAGACCCACACCAAAGCTACCAAGATCAACTAATTTACACAAAATGAGCAAAATGACAGGATACAAAAGATGAAACCAACTCATACACATCAAACGCTATGGAGTAACAACAGACTTCAAACTCTTTCCTATCAGAAATCTTCAAGACCAGAGCTTTGTTCTTCAATCTAAAGCAGCACTTAGTTCAGCCTTCTTGTAAAGCTTTCATCATCATCCATCTGACAGCAAAGAGTCCTTTTCCTTCTTCACATCCTCCATACCAGCTTCTTTCAGTAATCTGATGAGTCTGAATTCCATCTTTCTCCACCAAGCAAGAAAGGACCAGTTGATTCTGTGAAGAGTTTAGGGCACTGACAGAACAAACCCAATGTCCTACCCTCTGGGAAAAACACTCTTCAGGAATCAAATGGTTGGGTCTCCTTGAGGTACCCATAACAGCAGTCTTCCTTGAAAGCTCAGAATACTCCATCCACCCTGATCTTGCCCATTGAACCACTTGAAGTTCACTGCACCTCTCTTTTCTGAACAGCCATGAGTTCCTTGTTTTCCATAGCCACCACATAATATAAGCTGATAAACTAATCCTATCCTTGAGGTTGCCTGAAAAACAAGTGTTACAGAAACCACCCCACCAAACCTTGAAAGAGATGCTCAATCTGTCAAAACCTCTCCACTCTAAGCCACTTAACTTCCATACAGTCTTAGCTCTTATACAATTGAAGAGAATATGATCAAGGTCTTCAGACTCATTCCCACACAAATGACAGATGCTATCCACCTGAAACTTTCTTTTGAGTAGTTGCTCATTAGTGCTCAAGAAGTTATTCCAGCACTTCCATATGAAGACTTTAATCTTGTTCTGGATTGGCAGCTTCCAGGTTAACTTCCACACATCAGCTTCACTCCTGGTAGTGTCACTAGAAGAGGCAATGTCCTTTCTAGCTTCCCTGACATCCATAAGAGTGTAATATGCAGACTTCACACTAAATTTCCCATGCTTCCCAAAAAGCCAGATGAGTTGTCTTTCTTACCCAAGATGGATATAGGAGTTTTTAAAATGAGATCAGCATCTTCTGGTAAAAAAGATTGCCTCACCAGCTCTCTATCCCACACACCCCCCTCAGCACATGTCAAATCTCTCACCCAGACAAATCTATCTCTATCCTCAGGGTAGCATAGCACTGGGATGGGATTAACTGCTCCAGGCAGCCAGGGATTTTTTATGTTCTACTCTAATATTATTATAGATTTTTTTATTTAATGAATTTGGGGATGTGTTCTACTTTGACCTGTATATGATGTTTTATTGTGGTATTTAGAGGTTAAGCGTGTTAAGTAGATTTCCGTTTACCAAAGTCAATTCTCCCAACATTGGCTTCACAAAAAATTTCACTTCTTGCAAATAAAGTGATTAATTCACATAAAAATGTAATAACTACAAGGAAATAGATTGGTTACAATCCCCCTTTCTCTCTATATATTGTAAATCCCCCAAATACTCTTTATGAATCCCTCGCTCGGCCTTCAGTCGTGGAGCTCCTTTCTGGCGGTTCCATGTTCTTGCGATTCCGGCGAGCATCGGGCTCGCCCTAGGTTCGCCGACGCTGGCGTGGGGGTCGGTTCGCCTCTCCCTCCCCGTATGTGGTCCCCCTCTTGTTACAGAGCGCCACAACGGACGTGCTCGAGGCTGGGGTCGCTAGGCATGGCGTCCAACGGTCACTGCAGATGTCTGTGGTGGCAGTCCGACCTTGGTCCTCTCCGTGCGAGTCTAGGAGGCGGTTTTCAGATATAGGGTTCGTCTTGGGCTGTAGTTTATGGGGCCTTTTTCCGGTGGGTCGCATGTGGATGTTTTGCTTTGCCGTGCGGGAGGTGGGGTAGATGTCCAGTG